AGGCTCCCTTCTTTGGGCTCTTCCTCATCATCTACACAGTCTCAGTGGTGGGCAACCTGGGTGTGATCATCCTCACCAAGATGGACTCCAGGCTTCAAACACCCATGTACTTCTTCCTCAGACACCTGGCTTTCATTGATCTTGGTTATTCAACTGCTGTGGGACCCAAAATGTTAGTAAATTTTGTAGCTAATCAAAATACAATCCCCTATAACTGGTGTGCTACACAGCTGGCTTTCTTCCTCTTGTTCATCATCAGTGAATTTTTCATTCTGTCTGCAATGGCCTATGACCGCTATGTGGCCATCTGTAACCCTCTGCTCTACACGATTGTTATATCACAAAGGGTGTGCTGGGTGCTGGTAGTCATCCCTTATGTCTACAGTGCTTTTCTTTCTGTGATAATCACCAAAAAGATTTTTATGTCATCCTTCTGTGGCCATAATGTCATTAGACATTTTTACTGTGATAGTCTTCCCTTGTTAACTTTGCTGTGCTCAAGCTCACGTGATATTGAGTTGATAATACTGATCTTTTCAGCATTTAATTTGGTTTCATCCCTTCTAGTAGTGCTGGTGTCTTACATCCTAATCCTTATGGCCATCCTTAGGATGAACTCTGCAGAGGGCAGGCACAAGACCTTCTCCACCTGTGGCTCTCACCTGACAGTGGTCCTTGTATTATACACCACTCTATTCTTCATGTATTTGCAGCCTCAAACAAATCATTCCTTTGATACTGATAAAATTGTCTCTGTATTTTACACTTTGATTATACCTATGCTGAATCCTATGATCTACACCTTGAGGAACAAAGAGGTTAAAGGTGCCCTCCATAGGATATGGAAAAATTGGCATGCACTGCCTATGTAGAGTTCAAAATAAACAATGAATATAGTAAATTAGGTTAGAGACTACTGTTTAGTTCATGTCACAGGGCTTAGGAAGCAGCAATGTGTAAAAGTCATAGAAAACTAGAAATAATTTTTTTCCTGTTTTCAACTTCTAGATGTTTCAGTAGTGATCATCCTTCTGTTACCAACTTTGGTTTCAGTGCAAGAGACTGATATACAGACCACCATTCTCACATTGCGAAGTACTTGGGTGATGATCAAAGACAACTTTGGTTTTGTTTAAAATACATCTCAGCTTAGGAGCACCTGGGTGGCTCAGTGGACTAAAGCCTCTGCCTTCGGCTCAGGTCATGATCCCAGGGTCCTGGGATCGAGCCCCGCATCGGGTCCTCTGCTCAGCGGGGAGCCTGCTTCCTCCTCTCTCTCTGCCTGCCTCTCTGCCTACTTGTGATCTCTGTCTATCAAATAAATAAATAAAATCTTTAAAAAAATACATCTAAGCTTAATCTTTTTTAAAAGGTGTTTTGTGTCTTTCATTTAATATTAAGTAAATATGCCCATCCCACTGACATATAGCATAGGGGAGATGGCACTTATTATTTTGTGGAGGGAATATACACATCAATGAACAATCAACAATATCTGCCTTAATGATACTTTAATTTTATCCCCGTGTGGTGTTGGCAGCTCAGATTCTGTTACGTGTTAATTTGTATACCTGTATATACTTAGGAAGGCAAAAATAGAAGTGCGATTATTCTCAGAAAGCATAATTCTGTACATTAAAAATTTAAAACAACTCTTCATGCTGAAACGTTAGAAATAATAAGTGAAGTTTGTAAGTTTGGTGCATATAAGTTCAGAATATGGAAGATTAGGTGTTTTTTTTTTTCCTATATGCTAGAAAAAACAGGTAAAAATATAATTTTAAACCACCTATTATACTGGAGATAAAAACTGTATAATACCTAGGGAAAATTGTAATGAAGGATTTGCATGATTTTCTTGCTGGAAACTAAAACATTGATGGTATTAAGGAAGACATAAATGTGACATATGCTATACAAATGCTTTGGGAAAGGATCCAGAATATCTTAGAAGAAGAAAGAACACAGACATATTCTAAAACACATATCAATTCCTTTAATAAAACCAGATCATTTTTAAAACTATTTTTGAAACTATTTTAACTTTTTGTAAATAATTCTTCCTTCCTTCTTTGTCTTTTCTTCTACCTTTTATTTTTTATTTTTATTTTTTTTTAAAGATTTTGTTTATTTATTTGTCAGAGAGAGAGAGAGAGAGCAAGCACAGGCAGACAGAGTGGCAGGCAGAGGCAGAGGGAGAAGCAGGCTCCCTGCCGAGCAAGGAGCCTGATGCGGGACTCGATCCCAGGACGCTGGGATCATGACCTGAGCCGAAGGCAGCTGCTTAACCAACTGAGCCACTC